CTACCATCTATTGTTGTTAATGCATGTGGATAAGTGGATATGTGGAAGCCATTTGTCAGGTTGGACTGCTTCCACAAATTTGCCCTCCCACTTGGTCTTGTTGTAGGTGCCAACTAGCTCATTCGTAATTACTCATGGCGAACATAGCGGAATCCTTTTTCTACAATCTTTAACCTTAAACATCTTGAAAGTACCAGTAGCAACACACTACTCTTCATTATCAATCATCTTTTATGCGGGCCGAATAGAGTCCTCCTCAATGGGGCGCATCTCTCCCTCAGTGGTTCATCGTGAGGATCTCGCCCTCCCAGCCATTACTGGACAGCGCTTTCCTCTAGTGCACAGTAGACCTTCTCCAAATGCTCCACGGCGAATTTGACAGGAAGTTGGCTTACGGTGCTTTGCAGCCGTATTAACCTCAGTTCGCAAAGTGGACAAACTCGGATCACATCCATCAGATTACTTCAACTGCAAGGGATTTTGCAGTTATCCAGGGAAACCCAGCCATTCGTCACCCATATACCAACGGCATTTGCCTATATTTGGAACAAGGTCGCAAACCATCACGGAAATAGCCAATGTGGGATCATACTGACTTAAAATATTACCTTAGTGATAAAAGTTCGCACGTTATACCCCAACATAGCTATAAAAGGCTATAAAATTCAAACGAAGTTCCCACTGTTATTGATAGCTTCCGGTTAAGATTGCCGCTAATTTTGAGAGTATCTACCATCATCACCACCTCGAAATGATGCAATGACAAGGGTAGCAACCACAAAACTGCATGCACAACGTTATTAAAACCAGAGCATTCCTGAGATATTCTACACTGTACAATTTAAGAGTCTAGAGTCGATGTCTACAGTAGGGCCTAATTCTTGCCAAAAATTTTGACGAATTTGTTGCGCTTCGCCTCGGCCATAAACTTGCGATCCAATTCAAATTCATACTCGAATGTAGGGGTCCGATCAATCTTTTCACCGTCCGGTGCCTCATAAGACTTTGGATCGCGCGGCGGGGCAGTGGCGAAAGGTCCACTCGTACTCAAGCACAGCGGTGCTACTTCCGTAACATCCGTCACCTCTCCCGCCGAGGTTGAGACACCGACGGGCTGAATTGCGGCCGCGTAGAGGTGATATGGGGAAATCGCGGCAAGGGATCGTAGCGCTCGCTGCTGCGCCGCTTGCACACTACGCAGTTTGCGCTCCTCTTCCCTGGCAACGCAGGCCTGGTAACGCGCCCATTCCTTCATCAGCAGAACTTGGCTATCTATCTCGTCCTCCGACAGGATTGTTGGTGGTCGACGTCGATCTCTGTTTTGTTTTAAAATGTAAAGGAGTACCAAGAGGTCTCCGAGTATCGGTTAAAACAAACGTTACATAACCATTTCTCCATGCCATTCAAGAGGGGAAAGTATTAGATTATTCGCATGTAAGCAAGACCTATACAGAAATTCCCAAAGTATCCTAATAACCGCAAAATATTAAGCTGGTACGGCTTTCAAAACCGCCAGGAAAACCTCTGCTTTGGACGTCACTTGAGGTAATTGTAAAATAAGATATCCAATGTTTATCTCATTTACCTTTTATTTGTTACATATCAGGCCTTGTATTTAATGGTTACTAATTTAAAATCAGTAAATATACAATGAACTTCTTGATAAAAAAGATGAAAACGGGAAAGGTTTTCCGGAACTTTATTTGATACCAAATAATCACCTAATTTAGGATGACTATAGTAATTTCCTTGCAACGAAAGAGCAACATTTTGAGGAATAAAGTGACTGTAAAAATCGTCGAAATAACCATTAGGTATTTCAAAGAACTAAGAGGATTTTTACTAGATAAAAAACAACCTCAAATTAGCCCTACGTGGGCGGTAGAAGTCCCCCACTGTCTCGTTATAGAATTGATAATTACGAATTAACAGTTAAAGAAAGCTAGATGCTGAGCATAGAACAAGTGCTAGACGGGACTAACTGTTCTTCTTTCATGAGCTGTCGATCACCTTCAATTTCTTCCACGGGTTTAAGTTTCTTGCCCTGCCTGGAGAGACGTTTGATTTCTCTCTCTATTCGTTTTGCCTTTCTACGAATCCGATTTTGTTCCTGTTGTGGATCGACGCGCTTCTTCTTTTTCAGAGGCTCAGCACTTAGAAAAGTGAGTGTGGGATACGATAAAAAAATTTACCAGAGGATATTTCCAACGTGAAGGCAGCGAAGGCTTTCCACGAGTATCAGTTCTGCTGACTTAGAGGGAGTGAAGAATCTCCCTACCAAGCTAGCCATGATCTAGTTTTGAAAAAGGGAAGATGACGACATCACTAAGAAACACTACCTTTAAATACACTGCCTAAAAACCTGGAACCCGCAGGATGGCAACGCTACGACTGTGAAAACTGAGGCATGAAAAGGCGAGAAAGCATATAAAAATAGTACATGTACATTGAGTCACGCTGATAAATAAATTCGATTAAAGAAAAGAAGGAGAGGCAACAAGGCTTGGACAGTTGTGACAATTAAATAATTTACGACCAGATGGAAAGAAGCAAACAGGAGCGTAACCAAAAAACAACAGCTTCAAAATTGCCAAAATATGACATGTATGTAGAAAAGAAAACACTTTCTTATATAAACAGCGACCCGCAAGTAATTGCGCACAACACCTAAGTATTGCTATTTCGATAAGCGCACAAAGCTACTCGACTATTAAAACTATTTTCGACAGAAAAAGATAACCCACAGAAAAGGCAAAATAAAAACCACACACCAAAATATATTGGCTATTAACCCTCCGCGGAAGACGATGCAACCGAAATTGTTGCGTTATCTTCCCGTAACAAATTAAGCCATCCTAATTGGTAGATATGTCCAAAGCACTTTTGACTTCTCAGAGTTGTGGACAGAAAGGTATCAACCCTGGGTGTACGCAACTGTTATGACAAATTTATGATTCGGAAATTTTTGGTTCTAAAATTAGTCACATAAACTTGACCTTAAAAAGTTGGCCAAAAATGAACTATTCACACCAACACATAAGTGCCTTTTAGTTCTTTAAAGCACCGTATTTCTTTAATCAACTTTGTTAACCTCAAAACCTATGAGGCCAAAAGTTGTTTTTATTTTCACAAATGATCTTTGTGGAAAAAGATAACACACTTCCCAAAAATTTTTTAAAAGGTTTGCTTTGCAACTAATTGCTTTAAATTTTCTTTTATTGTGTTGTACTAAGTACAAGTTCTAGGCTTTATCTAGATTTCCAAACAACGCGTTGCTTTGAAGGACGTTCTTGCGGACATCTATTCCCATCTGCTAAATGGGTGCTAGTGTCAGTAATTTAGCAGATCTTGCTACTAATCCATACTTGATAAAACTCGTTGGTCAAGAAAGTGTTAACTGCAGCAATGAGTACTGGAATCGTCTGTTGCCTTTCGACATACAAACACCACTCACAAAGTAATAAATTACATTTAGTTAGTTTATTATTGATAACAGTGAGGCATCATTCTATCTTGAAGCTGCTGTCTCAAGCCTGCAACAACGTTTCTATCGGAATGACTTAAGAACGCACAATTTGGCCACATTACTTCAGCAATTTATTGTCAAAGCTACAAGCGTTTTGGGTAGCATCAAAATGGGGCAGGAGATGTAGGCCACTTTTTCATGTCCAGATATTTCTTTAGTAACGCGTCGGATATTAAAATGGCCCGGAATGCTCTCCTTATATTCCGTATTTTCACGAAATACATATTGGAACATCGTTCGAGTCATAGCATGAATTTGCACTTTGCCGATATCACGTCTAAAGGTACTCACTACTCTAACTCTTATTCTGTTTTAGCATCGAACTCCCCATCACTTGCAGAATACACAGTTCATCTTCTGTTTCTTTTGGTTATTGAAATAATTCCGAGGTAATGTCATTGATTACGGGTAGAGTTCATCTAATTTAGTGATATAACATACGGATTGCTCTATGAGTCTCTGTCGTCTTTGCTTATCCTCCTTTCTGCTCAAGTTTCTGGTTACGGCGGCGATGAAATACCTGCTACTTGCAAGTATTTTACGTCGAATAAATGGTAGGCATTCGCATTTGACCGGTTTCGTCATATGCAGAAATTGTAACAACTTACGCCTTGTAATCTAGTTTGGCAGACGCCCCAGCCTTCATTCATCGACTGGTGCTCAATGTTGCCGAAAATTTACCCTGTCCTCCCAATATGCTTGCGGAAAATCACGCCCCAGGAATGCTGTGGAATGCTGCTTCAACCATCGCAAGTGTGTCGTCTAGTATATACATATATGTATATTTCCCTCAATCGATTCGTAACACTTTAGTTTATTCTATCAACTTTGTGAGCGTGATTGCGCACCCTCTTCGATCTGAATACCCAGGGCTTCAAAAATTCTATTGGTAATTCGTCAGTTGGAGGGGTGTATTTATTTTCTTGGAGATGTGATTTCAATGTCAAATGTTCGCACTTGCAGTGACCAAATCAGTCGACAGTTGTTGAATGATGCTGTGTGGCTGATTGACGCAAAATTCTATGTCCGTCATGTACTCGCGACCTCATTACTGGAGTAAGGTGGAACTCCAAGAATATCCCTATTCTAAGTTGTGGTGTCGAAGCTACTGTCGCCTTCTTGATTGGTGCGGAAATGGACGTATTCGACAAATTCTCAAATTGCTGGTAGCATTTCTGTTGTGGACAGTCTTGGTGGCATACAAATAAGGGATTTTTGCAGTTGATGAATTGGCATCTAACTATTAAATCATTCCAACTGACCGCTTTGAAATGAACTGGTGTCAGGAGTTACAATTTGCAATTGCTAACATTATTGTCGGTCGTCTGGAGGGTGTGTGTAGTGGCACACAAGAGACCTTCACTGAAAGCGACCTAACCTTTTTAGAGCACAGTCCAAAAATTTCTCAGTGATCTTGCCAAGGACGTCGTACTTATTGGCTGTATTCTAATGGTCCATCTCATGCCATTACCGCACGTGTTTCTTCATGAATGTTAAACGCCAACTTGATCGTCCACCTACAGACACCATTTTTGCGGATAGTAATCTTCTTGAGGATTGTCTAGTGTTAATTCATGATTCTGCATTTGTAATGTCTATTGGAATGGGTTTTATGAATGGACTACCGAAAGCGGTTAACGTGCTTTAGCCAACTAAAACTTGCAGCGGTTCTCTCTCAGATGGTCTGATACCGGCTTATGATAAGCACTTTCAATCGTTATTGACTTAATGTTTCTTTTGCATGCATTGAATCTGAAATAATTCGACCAAATGTGGTTGCATTTGCTATTATTTGCCTTTCCATTATGAAGTACTGACGACCTTTCCCAAGGGGAACTCAATACTCCGAACCTGCAATCTGAAAATAAGTTTGTGGTCTAGTTAATAGAATCAGAAAAGCTCCCACTAAAGCTCTTTAACAGGCTGCCAAACACTGGCATATCTCTTTGCAAAGGCGAACTATGAACTGCTCAGCGTTACGTAGTCTAATTATAAGGTTTTCTTGATCGGACAGGAATAATAACTGTTGATATGCTCTAACCAATCACGTTTAAGCTAGCGATTATCAGTGGGTCATCGCTCCAATTTATTATCATGATAAAATGAATAAATATTAATGTCGGCATAGTGAGAAAATTTTATGCCTAAATGGAAGTAAGAACTGCCAGTGATCTAACCTGATGTTGAGGAAGTGATAAATGACGCTCCTCTAACAAGTCTCTGTCCGAATATGCTGCACTTGTGGCCAGTTACCGTTAGTCTTCTTTGTTCTACAGGTGGTCTGATGACGGTGGTGACACTGGGCTACTCACGCCGCGCAGCCAGCGCAAGGGCAGAGGCCAAATTGGAGTCAGGCAGTCCAGGAGGTGGTGTGTTGCACCCACTGGCGAAGCAGAGCTGCCATCTCCTCCTCGTTCTCACCACCCAATCGACCGGCTTTATCTCCGCCGCTTCCGCTGCACCCGATACCGACGGCGAAGACGGTGCTACCTCGCCCCCTAACTCTGCTAGTGCCGCTGTCGCTGCTGCTACCGCCTCCAGAAGCATCTTCCGGGATATTGGCTCAAACCCTTATCGCGAGGCCCTGTTTGCCCTAACTCCTCTCGGTGGGCTCCAAATCTATTCTATTGTCTTAAGCCTGTTTGATGGGAAATTCCCAGTTTCAAGCCAACTAATTTATGGACCATGGATTTGGAAGTCGGTTACTTCCTTCCCACTGCATTTTCTGGCTTATCCCCTCTTTGTTCTAAAGGCACGCCCCTATCTGTGCGAAGCGAAAAGTGTTTACTTTTTTCCTCCCTTTCTTTTGTTGCTGTATGAATTATCAATGAAAAAGATCCTATTTTTCATTTCGTAATGAAGTTTTTGGTGCAGCTCGTTTACATTAGAAGAAAATTGACCAGTCTCTATTTAAGAAAGATCGAAACCAAGCCTTTCTCTACTCCCGGCATTGCTTTTGCATCAAACTAAAGTCGCTAGGTTTATCTCGTTTACCATTCTACCGATTTTTATCGGGGAATTTTGAGCTACCCTGTTTTTCCAAAAGCATGTGACCATTCCTACCTGCAGAATAGAGGTTGATTTTTTCTCACATTCAATTGCTTTAGGGATTTCCAACTGAGAAAAATCTAACCTTCCATCTCTGGTAGATTTTTTCCCTTCTCAAGAACTGTACGGTGCACGGTCTTGTGTGGGCCAATTTTCTTCTACCCATGCAACTATTGTCGTTTTTCGAGCGGAAACTAACAGATTCATTACCTTTTATCAGTACTTCTCTTCTCACTGAGGAAAATTTCGGAATAGTCTTTTCTCAACTGACTACGCGATTCCGTTACCTAGTCCAAAAAGACGTCCTGTTTACTGTCTTTATTACCTTTTATTTGTCGCATGTTTTCCATTAGGTAAATGTGTTTCAAGGAGGAACCAATGCTCTTTACCTACTTTCCTAGCGAAAGTCGGTTAAATTTTTCACCTCACAACTCTTTAAATTGTCGTCGGAAGATATCGACTCCTTTTGTAAAGTCTACAAGTTCATTCTTTTTTTTTCAAATATAAAGCACCACGGGTATTCCACTTCCTATTAGTTCCAAGAAATAATAACCATTTATTTCCTAATTTTTAAAAGGTATGGGGGTTTTAAGGCCTAATTTTGATACACTGACTCTTAATTTCATCTCAGTTTTTTTCAAGGAGCAGTAGAATTATTGCATCTTTAAGCTCTCTCTTCCAGTGCTATTCGACTGCTTTTTTTCAAAAGCGCCCCACTATCTGTTTGCATGTGCGAAAGCCAGTGGAGGCATTGCGTTTTACCAATCCAACAACTGTCGTACAGGAAAGGCTCTATTTTATCCACGCTTTGGCAGTTTTTTTCGCCCGAGAGCTGATTACGATGTTTTATAGTTTTATCCACCTGCTGACTAGACCTCCAAGTGGACTCAAATTTCGTTTTCGCTATAAGTAAAAGCTTTGACCACGCGGTTTGGTTGAAACCGAACATCTCCGCTCTTCGGTGCACGGCACTTGTAGAAGCCAATCGGCGAAAAGTTTTGCTTTTTAGTCGGGAAATTTTGGACAGGACTATTAACTCTTTTGAGATTTCTGTTATGAATGTAACCATCGAAAATGGTTCAACGAAACAGCAATAGCGTTTCTTTCGGATGTAGCTTGGGATCGTTCCATGAGGATTCAGAATCGGGTTTTGGGAAATCCATTTTACTCATGGAAGCCATGCTAATGCATCGAGACACTCCAATTCCATATTTCCTTAACACTTTGTAAACAACCTATTCTCGATACTTTCCAAATACAAGAGGATTTTTGATTTTCCTGCAAATTCTGTATTTTAAAGCCACAAGATGCTTGTTCTCTTTGCATACAATTCATTTAAGCATTATGATTCTTTTGTGAAGTATCACTTTTAGCCTCACTCCTAGGAAGCTTTTTTTTCAAAATGTCTCCCCTCAAGCACTATATGTAGGTGTAGCTGCTTGTGATAGTAAGAAATAAGCTATTTCACATGGCTCTCTTAATGAATATTAGCCAAACGACATCGTATCTAGTTGTTGCATAACCCACAAATTTGGAAACTGGTACACAACGTCTGCCTGGTTCCCTTGAGTCGCACTCACTTTGAGACCGCGTATTTACTTGCACCATTCTTGGTATATCATTCACTGTCTCGCACATTTACTTCAGGTTGTGGTTATTTTGCGAGTCATAGTCCTTTTAGAGCAATTTTTGTGAAATGGGTGATGTAGCAGTGCAAACACCTCGAAGCGTCTTTATTCGGTTGTCAAGACGGTCCATTATGCATCGCAACCGTGTAGGGAATTAAGTCATCGACTAAGGTAAGCGAAGTACTGAACTATGCTATTGTAGAAGCGGATATATCTCAAAAGTCGCAAAGTTTGATTTAGTATTCTGCCATTGAATGGTTATTTGATTTCAGTCGTAGCGATTAAATGGTTGAGCGTTTGCATATATCCTGGCCCTCCTCTCCTTCGCTCCTACGTCATGAAGGCAAAACACGTAAATACATCAATGCATTGTTATGGATAATAAAATGCTTTCCCTCCCATAGTTGAAGTTGGATTTGTACGACGAATGAGTGTAGTTTAATGAAGTTTTAAAATACAGTTTTGAATTGTCGAAAGGCTGATAATGATTCGCGTTTGGTGTTTGACAGCGCAATCCTATCAGTTTCATACGACTTGGCCAATTGGCTGTAATGAGCGTTTACCTTCTACGACTAATCGGCCGAGAGGAGGCTAGGAAAGCCGTCCTCAAGCAGCCCATATTTGGTCGAATGATGGGGCGGACAAATAACGTGGTAAATGTAGAGGAAGGAGGTGCATTTGGAAACGGCCTGTCGGTTGCTGCATTTAACGAAGTTTATCGCGTCTACTTCGTAAAAATTTGTTAGAATAGGATCTTTCAAGTCAATTACTCCCCTTCTACCCGTACTTTTGGTATTTCCGCTTCCGGTTGCATAAGTAGTCATTTGAGACGTGAAAATTATGTTTTTGAGGTGGGGGGTATTACTCGTTTGGTTGTTCTTTTCAAAACCGGTTATTTCATTGTCACATAAACCTCGTTAATCTACGCAGGCGAGGTCAACGCTGAGGCAAAGCACAATGGTGGTCAAGGGAAGGACCTGGAGAAGGGAGGTGGGAACGAAAGGGGGATCATACCGCCTCGCATTCCCTTCGGAAGGTTGTGTGAGACCCTTGCATCCACCGTCAATACTGACAGCTCCGTTCTCCTCCTTTACCTTCTCCTGCATCGCAACGACTTCTTCCGCGCCTTTGTAATGGAGACTCGGGCATACGAGAAGTTTGTGAGTCTTCCCCACTTCGTGTCATTTCTTTGAACTACTCTTATAAACTGGTGTGTCACCTTGCCATTGTCTCATTTCACGTGACTTTAGCTTGCCACTGGTTTCTCAACTTGGGCGTTCGCTACTGTCAAAGTACTTGTAAACCTTATAGGCTACTTTGTACTTTCGTGGAATGAAAAAGGCTTTGCGTTCGATTCTTTTTCTGCAGAAGTGGATACGGATGTTGCTAATTTCACTACGTGCTTATTGACGGTTGGGGATTTTTGTTATTATACTGTATTGCATCAGGAATACGCCTACCATACTACTTCCGTAGGCATTTAGTGGCACTCTACTCCAGTTTATCGTTATACTTGCAAATAAACACTTTTGTATCCACTGAGTTTTGCGCCATAAAAGAACTAACCTCCTTAATTATAGTGATATTGTATATGCCGACTCACATTTACGTTGACTAAAAAAAGCAAAAGTTCGTCGACCAGATTCAAATCCCGCAATCTATATTATTGGGTTTTGGTACTTTTAGATCGTATGTATATGCATGTACATAATATGCATGGCAATGTCCCCTTTTTGTGCTTTTCAGACATTCTCTATCTGTTCGCTATTGTACCAATCGCCGGCGGAGAATTCGCACCTTGTATACATGGCCCTCATAGTTCTGCTAATTCTCACAGAGAACGAAAATTTTGCCAAGGATGTACACGACATAGTAGGTTAAAAACCTTCTCCTGGTGATACTGATGCTTTTCTCCTTTCAAATAAGTTCTGTCATGCCCAAGTACACCCTCAGATCCTATCCTCGTGTCTTGGTAACCTTCACCATATCGTGCTTCTTTTCAGCCGGTAAAGAAACCACCACCGAATGTAGAGCGACAGCTGACAGGCGTCTCCCTGGGCAGCCTTCTAGTCTACGTTCTCACTCGAACCATTCGGCACCACCTCAATCAGCTGAGGGACAAGTACCTGCACATAAACAGTCTGGCTGCGTTGGCCAATCTCTCACCGAAAATTGCCAACCTCCATCCCTACGTCAGTCAGGCTCTGGTTGAGTGAGGCCCTTCAAATACGCTTCTCATTAGCTGTTTGTTTTTTTTTTCATCTGTGTATAATCGATAGCTTCAGAACATCACTGACATTCTTAAGTCCAGTGATCCAAAGTTGTCAAGTTGGAGTTTTATCGTTCATTTGGCTCCTTGTCTGGCTATTGCATAGGCGCTTGGAATCCAAATCGTCACTGGGTGCTTGCAGCATTTCTTAGATCACCGATTTTTTGAGAACTAGTTTAAGATTTTCCGTAATCTGGAGCCGCAAAATTTAGTACCAAGTTTGAGGTTTAAGTGCACATTCAGTGTAGAGTACATGAAGTCGTTAAACAATAGCCGACGCTACTCATCGGTGCTTCCAGCTGTTTTAATTCTGGTTTGACCTTAGTTATTATATTGTTATAAGGTACATGGACTTGAAAGTAGCTTTATCATAAGCTGCTAGGAGTAGGAAACTGATTGCATTTGAATGGTATGAGCGGAGGCCGAATTGCAGGTGATATTGAAACCGATATCACTCCATGACATAGATCTATCCTACTTTGGGCGTCGTTATTAAGTGACCTTCCTGGTCACTCTTCTGGCTCAATCATCTACGATGGATATATATCACCGCAGAGTTTTCGATACATCCACCTTTTGTATGATTCCTCGTCTTCCATGGCAAGGGGTAGAAGTGAGATCTAAACAGTGTAGCTGGACTTCGCACGTCAAACTTTACTTCACAGGAGTATGCTTCAACCGATGAGGGAAAGGCGCTTTAAACTACTCAACTCTTTATAAAAACTATTTTCGACTTCTCATAAAGTGGGAAGGGATCGCGGAGATATTGCAGATAGGATGTTTTCTACCCATTGGTAAAGTTGGTGATTCTAACCATTCTACCAGTAGAATATCATTCACAGTTGAATAAGACTGTGCTTTTCGGGAATCTTGTGCTTGCCTTATTGCCGCTTTCTATTCGTGTAGCCTCTTACAGAAGTTGGTGAAACGGCATAAGCGTCTGGTGAATGAGATTCGTACTCTCAACGATCAGCTGAAGGAGCAAAAAAATACCACTGGAACCAAGGTGCCCCCATACCCAGACGTTCGATTGAACATGATGTCGTCGTCTGATGCTCTGGTTTGTCCCCTGATCTTACTTGCCCTCTTTCGTCAATTTGAACTTGAACTCGAATTGGGTAGTTGACAGACGTAGAATCAGAGTTGAACCTCTCGCTCACTATTTAAATGACGTGAGCCAACGGTGTTGTTGCATTAGTTCTTCAACGGAATACGTACTCAAAGCTGATCATATTTGGAATGCTAATAGCATTTTGTTTAGGTCAATGCATAAAAAATACGAATAATCAAACTAAAATGCCAAGAATATAGTCTCTTAAGTTTACTTAAAGTGGGGATTGCATGATCAGTTAGTAAAATAGTTATGCGCCTATCCTTGACATTCTGATCCCTTAGAGTTATATGCATTCCCAGTCTTCCTACTCTACCACTAATCTGCAGCTTCAAGATCTCTCGCTGTTGGAGGAGGTGATTCGCATGACCCTGGAGATCTTCAATTCCATTCTCACTCACTCCCTCACCGCGAACACCCACCTCATTTACAACCTTCTCTACCAACGCGAGTACCTTGCGCCCATTCACAACCATCCCTCCTTCAGTGTAAGTCCCATTTGTGGTTAAAAGTATTCAGAAACACTGTAGTTCCCTTCCCTTGCACTGCAACGCACTTCTGCTGATGGTCTTCTTAAATTTTGACTTTTACCTTCCTTAGAGTTAAGCGCGTGATTGATTCATTTTCAGTGGACGGGCCAGTAAAAGTGGTTCGTGGCTATTCTTTGATACTGGACAACGTCTCTTTTGTTTTTACTGCCTATGTTGAGACTAATGCGAAATTGGGGCTATTATCAGCTTGTTCTCTTTTGAGCGATTTCTTCAAAACCCCCAATCGTTATACTTTTGCTTTGGCTACCACAGTAATAGGCAAGTGGATTGAAACAAGACGTAAGACGGGAGCGCAGGTGGTTCTTACCCACCCTATGCTTTGGTGGACGAATTGCAGACACACTCACAAACTCAATTCTAGCGTTCCATAGATGAAATATATTCGAGCGATGGTAGGTGAACGGGTTCCAATCTTTTGCCTTATTAAATTACTGCGGCTAAGGTTTGATAAGAGCACTTATTTTTCATTACTAAGTTTTATGTACCCTCCAAGGCACATCTACGACTGGTATGGGTAATGTCACTAGTCTTATCAATTGAAAGCATCGTTACTTCATATCTGGGACGGCGATACCTTGCACGTCCAACTGCAATTTAAGCCAAAGGAAAATCATTCAAAGTTGATTTGATGATACTGGAACGTTTCTAAGTGGTGTTTCTCCCCTATTTAAGCTGCCAAATCCTCGAAGTTTGTTCTTTGTAGGGTCTATCACGTTTCGGCAGTGTGGACTAGGTGAACTACTTTCTTACCAAGAATGGTTATTTCCTCGGCTCTTCCGTAAGGTTTTCAAGATTCAAGCTTTCTCTTGAGTACCAGCGCAGTGTGTTCACTTGAGATTTAGTTTAGCTTCTCATAAAGGGGCAAATAAATATGCCACAATCGGTGTGGGGGTGATGACAGGTAGATATAAATTGTTTCTTTGATGGTGTATTGGCACATATCACTTTAGTGTCGCCTATCACTAGTGAATAAACGCATTTTACTAATTAGCTGAATCTTGAGTGAAGTATCATAGCGACGGCTTCCCTTGATGGAGCTGTTAGCACGGCTTACTAACCATAATCTCGTCTGGTTCCTCAAGGGAAATGAAATAAGCAGATCGTGTCTCTATGCATCATTTTAAACTTTGCCCATGTAAACTTGGGTCATCTGATGTGATGGCGCACAACTCTGTTTTGTTTAATATCTTGTGTTGACTGGTACTATAGGTTTTAGATTCTGATGTTTTTAAGGTAATGAAAGCTGGAATCCTCTTGATCTACTACGATTAAATGGTGATAGCAGCATTACCTTTTCATTAATAAATATTTATATGCCTTTTAATTCATGTTTATGATTGTTGTGGGTGGGGCTACTAGCCATGTAAATTTAAGATATATTTTCACTTCGTATCCGGAAGATGAGTGTCCTCCATGTTCATTCTGATTTTAAACTTTCAAGTAAGCAGTGATGATCTTGAAATGACTTAAATTTCACTACGATGCCAAAAACTGCTTTTTTTCAGTAGGTTCAACATAAGTTACCTCACTTTGACAGCTGGAAGGGGTCTAATACGGCTCATGTGTTTAGCCTCCTCGCTGCAAAATGCCACAACTTTTGTGGTAAAGAATAAGGAAGTGTAGTTCAGAACAAACAAACAATGCTCCTTAGTGATCTCCCACTCAGCTTAATTTCTCTCCCTCTCTCTTCAAAAGGATTTGATGCAGAACATCGACACAGTTCTGGGCTTCTTTGCCTCCCGCATTGAGAAGGACTTGGGTCTGCATCCCACGGAGACCTCTGCAGTGATGACAGTCATCACAAAGTCCATGGGCGATTTTGCTCGCACTCACACCCTCAAGGAGTTTCAGGAACTGAAGTTCAAGTACGTGGAGGAGGAATCGCCGGATGAGTTTTTCATCCCCTATGTGTGGTCCTTGGTTTATCGACACTCGGGACTGGGGTTTGAGCAGAAGTTACTCCACTCCTTCGGCGGCTACGAATACTGTGCCAGTGAGGAGGAGGCGGAAGGCGATGTTGCCACTACTACCACTGCTACTGAGACTACTACTGGTGCCATTACCAGTAGCGACTTCGGCAATCCCAAAATTAATGAGAGGCAGTCAATTCGAGGATGAAAGAAAAGGATTCTTTCCCCTTTGATTAAGTCTTTCCCGTCCTATTCATCGTGGGCGTCGCTTGCTCGTCACCCCTCTTCCCTCTGCCTACGCACCTTAACCGTGTACTTTTCGCTTCTTCCTTTTCAGTGGTGTATTTTTTGTGTCGTGAGATGGACGGATGGATTTATGATATCGAGAAGGGCGGCTGCTTATCGGTTTCACCCACGCGTGAGGTGTTTGTTAGTCGTGGATTGGCGACTGGTCCTTTGGTTCTTTGCTTCTCGGGTGTACCGCTACCCCAATGTGCATAGCTGGAGTAGCATTCTGGGATGTAATGCCGGGAGTTGGGGCTTGCTGTGGGGTAGTCGACTAAGTCCGGCGTGCGGGTAACGTTGACTATCAGCTAACTGCGGTCGATCCTAGATCTGACAGTCCAGAAGCTGTGGTCTCGGAACAATTCGGTCCCCGAGGTGGCAGTCTGTATGCTGTGCCTAGGTGCGGGTTATTCAGCTATCTTAGTTGAAATGTACACTAGTATCCTTAAGTAGTAAAATTAAAAAATATCTTTGCGGTGTTCTGAGCTTTGCAGAAAATATTGTGGGCTATCGTAGGGAAATAATTATCCTCAGCAGACAACAAATCACCTTACATCCAAGAAAATGGCAAACGTTGCCTCAATTATTCTATTGAAATGCAGTAGAGTAGGCAAAGAAGACGGCCTTAGGATCATTCAATAGTTATTTCAGTTCTTAAATTGCTACCACTTATTTGTTTTAATAACTTTATCGTCGAACAAATAGCTCATATGACCTTGGTCAGTTCAGTTGAGATCTAGGTAGCGTGACTTGGGCACCTGGTAGCTTCGACTATGTTTGGGCCAATGTATAAATATAACACGCCTTTTCATTTGAATTTTAGTCCAAGAAAAGTGATAAGTAATGCATTCACTGTATTACAGGTCAAATATCCCCATTATCCCATACCAATTGGCGGGCGTAATGCCTCGTCATGGTAAGGATTTGTTTTGCTTTTATTTCTCGTAGTCGACTTGACCGACGAGGAAGACTTAGATTCTGTTTCCCTTCAGTTTCAAAAAAAGCGGTTTTATGTGGATGTAAAGAAGAATTGGCGGGGTCGTTTCATGAAGATTGCAGAGGTATATGAATTATTTTTGCCGACACGTCTATTAAGGTCGGTCTGGATGGAAGGAAGTCGAGGATATTGTTAACAATGACGGCGGCGGATGATCTTAAGGACAAAATTTTGGATCTCGCGAATGTTTACACTGAAATTATGGCAAGTAATGCAGAAGGGTCAGTTGATTCTTCCAGACATGTTTCCAAAATTGATGGGGTTGTCAAATCCCATACCCTCAACTACCCCCACCGAAGGTATTACCTGGATCTCAAGAAAAACGCCTGGGGCTATTTCCTTCGTGTAACAATGCTTTCAACAAGTACTCGGATAAAGTTGGCCATTCCTGCAGAAGGGATGCGTGAATTGTACAACTCAATTTGTGGTCTCTTGAAAACCTGGTGGATTCCTGCGCCAGATAAAAGCAAAAAAGGTTTCTTTATCTTAAGTTCATCTAATGCACTGGTTTGTAGAAGTAAATTTGCCGCCTTCTCGAGCCTTTCGTGTTGATAGTCGCACTCTTTACTTTGATTCAGTCGTGAACCGACATGGTGTCTTCCTACGTATTTCTCAGGTTTGGGCTTCCAGTCGCTCTGCAATCACCATTCCTGGTCGATCGATAGGCAGATTTAGGGAGATTATCAACGAACTTGCCGACCACATATCTGCAGCTACAGTACGTACAAATGATAATGTTAAATAACGCACTCTAGATTGAAGACAAGGAAAATTGCTCAAACAATGAATTACAAGATGGTAAGACTGATGAAACAGTTTCTTCAAAGATTTTGGAGGCCTCAGCCCTTGAAACAACCTTCCCGGAGTAAACCGCGACCATGTATCCACAAGTGATTTCTGCTTTGTACATCCAACTTTGCCTACACCCTATTTCGTCTTCCAATCACCTGTGACCCACTTTCCGTCCTGTATTATTGTCCCCCTATTTTTCGCATACCATTTAAAAATCAAACAAAACGTTGAAGCTTATTGGACTTGAATATCATCAAACATTTAAACGTGAAGCAAGTTTTCTCTCTATGCACCACTACGTAGTTTTAATTTATAATAAACATGGGCTCGATGCTTTGAGGTGCGCAGTACTTGCTTGAGCTAGTGGATGTGTATGCTTCATCTGGAGCTGATTAGGCATTTTCATCCCAGGAGCATCTTTTATCAACTCGAGTCTGGGAGGATTTTCTGGTGGAAAACAAATGTGAAGTGTTCTTTGACTTGGTGCAATGCAATGGCGGTCTGCCTCCTTTTCCTCTCCGTCACGACAGGGGTGGAGTGGCTGACGAATCTTGTGACAATCAGCACCATTGGTGCTATCGTTCAAGAGGTGCAGCAAGTGCACTTCACACAGTAGGCAGATTGGCAGTCTACGTGTGCCACCAATGATTGCTTGCCTCGAGTTATGCATGCATCGGCATCATTTTAATGATGGAAGAAGAATGGCAAAGCTTCTTATGATAGGTGAGTTCTCTGAGAAGGCTTCGGATTGACGATTGAAGTTGATGAAAGCGAACCGAAGGTCTTTTTTAATGGCTGTCAAGTAGTAGAGATCTAACATCAGCGCAGTGCAACCAATCATTTTAAGTGGTTAATCAAAATGTGCTCAAGTGGGAAAAGAATTAGACAACATTGTATATACTTCAATAAATAGCGGAGTTATTAAACTACTCGAATGTACTGCCACCACACAAATCCTTGGAAAGGATCAATCAAATCAGTGATGATTTAAAGTTGTCAATTCTTAGGTCATCGAATATGCAGGAGGCTGTGACAGCAAATGAGGCCTTTCACACTACAAGTTAACTTGTGAACAGAAAATCTGATGGAGGAATCGTGACATTTACATTTTAAAATATGCATATATAATCGCTTTTAGATAGGGATAAAGTATTTCTCTGCTCCGAACCACTTCGAAATTAGATGTAAACCTCGAATCCCTCTATGGGACACGATTGAAAGTTAAAGATTTACCCAAAAAAGTCGTCACTGAGCATAAACCACCTTATCATGTGCTTAACTTTGATAAATCACATGGGTGTCAAAGTAATAAGCACCCCAAAGTAGACCAATCATTTCAAGTTAATTCAAGTGATAAAATTAATTCCGAACCAGTAAAGAGGATTACCGCAAAGCATCAATGCGATGAAACTAATCAAACTTTTTGACTAAGAATCCGCCTATTTTTGTCTCAAGTTAAAAAACTTTGAAAGACTTTAAATTGCTTACAAATACTCCAAAATCTAAAAGCTCCTAGGGATTCGCTTAGAATGAAAATTTGTTGTAATGCGTGCTCTCCTGGAGAATAGTTTCAGTCATCGAATGAAACTAGTAAAATCACACTGTGGGTGACAAGACAGACATTCCAAAAAAACCGGATCGCATCACATTCCTGCAGACGACAGAAGTTTTTAATGATTAAAGGGACTGGCAGCAAACGCATTGTAGTAACCTAACGTTTTTTGGCCCTGCACTTGACAAGGCGAGTTCCAAGTGAGGAACAATCCTAATTCCACTGGATAGTTACAAAATCTAGCTATCAAAACAGAAGGGTCGCCAAAGCCACGTTCGTTTGTGACAATCACCTCTATCTCGTATTCTACAATGAGGCTACTAAAAAGTAGAGGCGACCCGGACTCTAACAGTTCTAAGACATCCATCATGGGACTGCTATGACACTGATGTGAAAATACTTTAATTACATGGGAAAAAGGAGCTACTCCAGGTTACTAATAGATGGATGGGATTCAGGTAGACATTTGGTTATTATTAGAACGGTACAGGGTAGCAAAGCGGAATGGGTACCATATTTCAACCCTATTAAGCGACTTGTCCTGAGCGGTACAAAACTGTTGACTCCCCTCCTTCAGAATATACGAATGACGTTGACGACAAATGTCTTCGCACCTCAACGAAGATAGGGTGGCAACCGTTTCTGGTTTGTGGGCGTTCTTCTAAAGTATCAACTACATCGTGATGGCCGAAACAAAAAGAATAAAAGGAAAGCACATGCAACATCCAGGAGGGCTGCTCCACCGGTGCTGATAGCCCTCGCACCACTTTGTGAGTGAATGGTAAATCCCCACCGTCGTATAGTTTATCAAGACTTTAGGTACGGCAAAACACTAGACAATCATCGAGTCGTGATACTAGATACCATGCAGTAGTGTTTTTGCATATTGGGTGCCGTAGCGAAATCAACGAATTGCTCAGATTAACGTTAATCCAGTTCCCCTTAAAGTGGCCAACTGTAGAATTACCAAATATAAAGAAAGTGATAACGGACCAGGTTTCCCGTACTGAGAGTAAGCCTAAAACGTCTAAACCAAAAACCAGTAGAGACCTCTTATTGCAACACAAAAATAAGCTTAATTCTAAAAGCTTTTCAGCCAATACGCCTAAAAACTTACCAACATAAGGATATGCCATTAGTTTCAAACTATACTTTACCATGAAAAACAATAATTACACGAGTTTTGTGTAAAAAAGCAAATGCAAAAGGATGACATCAGTCACCAAAGGCATCAGCTGTATACTTTTTGTTCGCCTGCCTGGACAGATACCGCTCCTTTCCCCGTTTACTCAGCGATTTCAACCGCTCCTCTTTCACCTTTTCCCTAAGTTTGCCTAGGCAAAAAAACATGTCAGAGCATGCAAGCGAAGACTAGCTAAAATGCATCACATATAAATCAACGCTTTTAACGCGCTAATAGAAACCAACTCACTTCTGGTGATAAATGTCGCCCGTTTGCCGGCCATGAGATCTGCCATCTGCGCTTTTTGAAGATCGCGTTTCACACGTCTTTTTAGCTCAACGTCCTTTTCTGTAGCTCGGCGTTGATTCAGCAGTTTAATGGCTCTCTTTATTTTTTCGCGTTGCTCTCCATTTCGAACCTTACGCAGCTGTTTCTTTAGAGTCTAAAAAACGATGTTAATGCCAGAAACCCTAAATATTAAAGTATGAATTTGCGAACAAGTTTAATGCCTCTAAGGACCTAGAATCAATGTAGTAAAGCAACAGCCAATGAAGTAATGACCCAATTACCAACATCGATCGGCAACGCTGAAGGGTCTACTTCCCTTAAATACTCAATATTTCAAGTAAGACTTAACATGATTCGAGTTAACAAGTGTCAGAGGCATCAACAAGGCATCCTATGCGTCCCCGACATTAAAATTATGTGAGATCATTGTTGATACTAATAAAATAAGCATAAAAACGGACGAAGGTAATAATGCATACAAAAGCAAGAAAATGTAGCTACTCTAAGATCCAGAACATTCAACCCCAGAGAAGGCCACTTCGGGACAGACACCCAACCAATAACGAATTAGAAAATAAAACATACTCCAAAAAGATTTGATACTGATGCATATCCTACCCTTAGATTTTTCTCCTGTTCCTCTTTCAAAGACGTCCAATCGCTCAGGACGCATAGCCCATTAACTCTAGGGTCAAATCTTGGATCTCTGAAGCTCTTTTTTCGTAAAAACTCTTTTCTTGTGGCTGTAAACACACGTTCTAGATGGTTTGAAAGTGCAAATTTGTTCTTCTTAAGCTGCTTAAAAGGCACAGCTATAGGTTTGTCGTTGAGGCCACTTTCCGAACACGACGCCATCGTTTAAACATAATGAAACACAGCTGGACAAAATAATAAAAAGACTTTACTAAGCAACCATAATTTATGCACTTAAGATTAACTAGAATAATAACGAAAGGCATACAATGACGTATAATGTCTGAAATATAGCCAAAATTATCGTTTTTTTTTGTGAAAACCCCCAATTAGAACAACATATGCTGCGGCACACTGAGAGTTCTATGAAGACTAAAGGTGACGTAATACTCATGTAGGAAACATATATTAGGCATACAGTAAAGTGTAGGGGGAGACTCACAGGTCTCCTCTCCCCTGTTCCTAGTGTTCGTAGAACAACCCGGTTGATCGAATCTCAACATATTTGTTAGAAGGAAATGGATCGGGAGAACAAGTACAAAGTTTAGGAGGGGGGGGGGGAAGAAACCACAGTCGCACTTAGGCACGGGAGACGACGACCCTGTCACCAGCTTAGAATTACAAACTTGCTTCCTCCCCGAAAGGTACATAAAAACATTATAAGTATTACAGGGGCTTGAATTCTACTGGCACGGCCTGGAAGTTAGTTCAGGTGCAGTGGCGGAGCACCTATGTACTCCTTTAAGAAAATTAAGACTTAAGCAAATGATAAAAGTTTTGCAGTACTACCACAACAATTTGATATTTTTTTGAATTGTGTGTTGAACCTCAAAGGCATTTGGTCTCGGCATGTTATATTCCCAGATCCGCGGCGCAGCGTTAAGGTGCGCCAGTTGTCTCCCAACTCCTCTGTACGCCCATAAAATATTTTTCCCACACAGACTACTGAGGCTTTAGATGCAATTAATACGCTGTGTTGATCAAACCTCTTCTGCAATTACCCTTGAAGTTTATTGCCGATTAGCGGATCATAAGGTGACGGAAGAAGAGCTCCTCTCAAGGATGAATGAGTCAGTAGTGACATTTAACAAAAGGGTTGAAATTATATCCACCTCTGGCAACAGTTCCAATTTTGTGTTCCGTTAGGCCGATTTTAACAAATGAATCGCTATTAGACCTGAATATTTTGAAATGGCCCGTCACGGACTCTCAACAAACCTATACGAAGATGCTAATCACCACTCCATGTTTCTTCTACCTGAGTTAAATCTAGATAGACAATTAATTGGGTGGTTTCGGAATGAGAACAGTGTTGCAATGAGGAATTGATGCAAAAAATAGCTTTATGAAATAGATCACAATCAAACTTATATTGAATAACTTTACTCTTTAGGTAATATTCCTACGACTAGATACTGCTAGACGACACTCAGCTGGTCTAAACATTAAACAGTGTTGAATACCATGGATGTGTTAATTGTCCTCCCCCATCACAGCTAATAAGTAGATTCAAGCTACCACAGTGATGAAGGGAGTAAATGCTTGTGTGCGTGCAGGGAAAATTTAGTAAGGGACATTCGTAATACGATAGTGGTTTATCCCTCTGTTCTA